CAAAGGGTGTCGACATTGTTTGGTTTCACAAGAGGTGTGATTAGAGAAGGTACTTGAAGGAGGAGAGAATAATCACTTGGCATGCAAAAAGAGGCAAATGAGAGGCAAATCCGAGCAGAGGGTTTGGTGTATTGTTGTGAAAAGCACACTTACGTGTATTCATTTGAAGAAGACACACGTACAGGACCAGACAATGGAAATTTTTTTTCTTTGAAACTTCAGTGAAAATAAAATAGTAACAAAAAGGTTAACATGTGGTTATAGAAGTTCAGCTATTATATAAGCCCTGTAGCTTATTTCAAAAAGAGTATAAACCACAAAAGCATTTTATGATTTATACAAAAGAGGTAAGAAATGTTCCATTTTTCTGTGTTACTGGTATACATTTTTTTTTTGTCTGGGGCTTGTTAGATAACAGTAAGTATAATAATGTTTTATCTGATTCTCCTAAACATGCAATTAAAGTACATTAGTACCAGCATACTAGTTTATGTTCATTATTAAATGTAAAAATCTAAGAACTCTACATTAATGGAACATAAAATTTGATATTTTAGTTACACAGAAGTCAGGGAATTCAGATGGATGGTTCCCATAGCAACCTCTCTCTTCCTCTTTGTGTTTTTCATTTCACTAGAACCTTTCATTACTTGATTGCACCATACATTGTATTGTGCAATTTCATCATAAAATTTCATCATTATATAACTGTGCAAGAGAAGAGAGTGAAGGTTGTCTTCACTCAACACTTTCTAACTTCAATGTTTCTGTTGCACAGACAGCAAACTGATGCTTAAATGAATCAGGCCCATGATTTAAATATTTTCTGCTTTTTTGGGAGACCTCCATAAATTTGGCCGGGTTCTTTGGAATGGCTATAAATAATGAAGCAGTTGAACACAATAGCATATCATTCCTTTGTAATTGGCTATTGTCTGCCTTGCCACGTAGATATGTGGCTCCAGTGAGCAAAAGAGAGACCAAACCATTTTTCATTTGTGGCTAAAAGATTTATCCCATCCAGATACAGGAAAGAAAGTGATAGTGGAAAATGGAGTGCACTTGTGGTTTTTCTATTCTGACAGTGGAATATAATTTACCAAATTACAACTCTGTGGATTGTCATGGTCGCTAGTGGGGTTATCAGTTAGAGATCATTGTGGTGGCTTCTAGACAACATAACAGCTACGGGAATTTGTAGAAGTAGACCTGTAATTCTGAATTTTTCCATACTGTAAATTTTTATTACAGATGAAGAGCCAGTGAGATCACACTTTTCATTACACAAATGAAGATAGTGATTAACCTTGCAATAGTTAGGTCTTTGTTGCAGAGGATATCAAAATGGAACAGACAGAGTGGGCTGGTCTGAACCTTTTGGAGACCTTATCAACCGACCTGGCCTTTTTAATTTGGCAGCTTATACTGTGAGCATTTCCAAGCTCAAATATCTGTGGCTTCTCAAGTCCTGGAGTGCTGTGGGGAGCAGTTCCACAGCAGATGAACCTATTAAGAAGAAAGGAGATACCCTTCTACAAAGATGAGCAAACTAAAGGATAGGATGGGGAAAAAAAAGTATTTCTAACCTTCCCTACTCTTCCTGTTAAGCATATGCTAAAAGAAGAGGATAATACTGCAGAAACAGAGACTGGATTAGGAAAATGAAAGGCTTTTCCTCCTCAAAAGCCTTCAAATTGCAATGATTTCCATTGCCTTGATAAAATCAGACCTGGCTGGTGGTGCCATATTTTCTTTTGTGCTTTTGTAGTGATGATAAATTTTGCACCTTCCCTACTCTTCCTGTTAAGCATATGCTAAAAGAAGAGGATAATACTGCAGAAACAGAGACTGGATTAGGAAAATGAAAGGCTTTTCCTCCTCAAAAGCCTTCAAATTGCAATGATTTCCATTGCCTTGATAAAATCAGACCTGGCTGGTGGTGCCATATTTTCTTTTGTGCTTTTGTAGTGATGATAAATTTTGCATGAAATGAAAGTATCTAGTTGTTTATACTTCATTTTACAGCAGCCAGTATGTCACTAAGTCAGCACTTCTCCTCCAAGATTTATAGAGCAGGATTTAGGCTAAATTGCTGGCATATGAGATTTCAGCCAAAGGTTGTTTTCCTTTAACCATTTTGTTTTTCAAATGCCTTGGCTGATTTTAGGTTATTGGAGTCCAATATAATTACTTGCTTAATTGCTTGGAAGAAGTAGAGCTTCCGTAGTTCAAAAATGGCTTATTTTCTTTAAAAATAACTGAAATCTGGCTTGGGGTTCTCTAGAATGCAATGCACTATGCAATTGTGTCATTTTATCCTCTTAAAAATTCCCTGAATAGTCATTAAATCTTTGGAAACTAGCAAATCTCCAGGAGGATGCGATAGGTCTGGCTATTTTCCAGGGTTTGGAAGAGGCTATGACAGATTAACATGGTAAGAAAAATGGTTTCTAAATCACTGCAAGACTGGGTCAAAGATTCTAGCCTGTTGAAATCCAGTTGGTCTTCTTAATGCCTCCAGTCTTCTACGATGTCCAGACTCAGCCTCTGCTTTCAAGAAGTGACACAGAGCAGAGGAGAAGAGGAAAAATTGACACGGAGTCCAGAGAACTTATGAATAAGGATGGATCAGTTAGATATTGGTGCCACTTTTCATTGTGCTGTACCAACTTGTGTTGTGTTGTGTTGTGTTGTGTTGTGTTGAAGCACAACAATAAAGGACCTTTATGAGATGTATAATGTGGTAGGTAACGGTGTGGAGGAGAGTAAAGTAACAAACAAGGGAATAAAACAGGCGAAACTGTAGCCTGCCTGTTGAGAAGCCAGAGATAATGCTAAGATGTTCAGGATCATTATATTTGTCCTGAATACCACAGTCACTCAGATGAGCTGAAGAAGAGGTCCCAAGAGTACTGATCTGGGTTTCATGTCTGGACAGCTTGATCCAATGGATCTTGAAAACAGAATATTTTATGTATTCAGAGGGCAAGTGTTTTGTACTTATATGAAGAGAAGGTTAGTTGAGATTAGTTATTCAGATGTAAAAGAGAAACTTCACTTTTAATATATTGTATCTATTAAATCTATCAAACAACAGCTGATTGCAAAAGCCCTCTTTATAATTGGCTTGTTTCAAGCTGGTAGCAGTATAAATCATACATTACTATATCTGTTCTGCTAGTTAACGTTTAAAAGATAAAAGAGAGAGAAGAGGAAGTGGAGAAGTGTAGAGAATCATTCAGGTTGTTTTAGCTTCTTAAGGTTTGATTCCAATGGATTTATAATTTTCTCCATGCATCAGTAGTAGCTCATAGGATTAGACGTGAAGTCTGTATAGATACAAAGTTTGAAAAGAAAGATCTGCATTGAGCCAGCCTTCCACAGTTACCTAAATCTGTTTCAGAGGTCTGCAACGTGAGTTTGGGAGGCTCAGATCTCTTAGGGCAGATCACCATCACTTTTCTGACTTGATGAAAACATGAGGTTCAGGGGGGGTGTCTCCACAAGGAGAACAGCTTTTGCAGGAATGAGACGGCTCTGTTCTTAAGTCTCAGGTAAAATGCAGAAAATAAGTCTAATTTTTAATAAATAAATACAATAGTACAGAAACAAGGTATGACATTATAATATACTTGAGGGCTTTAATGGTGGTAAACTGGGCGTTGCCATCAAGAAAATAATTAGGAAATGTACTTTTCCAAAAGGAACAAAAAGCTCAGATGAAAGGCAGCCTTTCCGAGAAGGCAAAAAGAAACCAGTTGGAGCACCCCACACTAATACACAGCACAAGTGTAGCCACTTCTTAACACGAGTGCTATGTGATCTTTATGTTGTAACTGAGATTGCTTAGCCAGGTTTCAACTCAGAATTAACTGCAAGCTGTCTAATAAAGTAGTAAGAGCCAAATGGACTCTTTGAAGAGTTTTTGACTGAGAAATTCTTAAAGCTAAATTTGAGAAATCTTACAAATATTGACTTTGTGTACTATTGCTTGTAGTTGGGGGGTCCACAAAGACTTGCTTCTCATATTCTTTTACCTTAATGAAGCCAATGACTGTTCTTTGGTGATCTGTCGAGGTAGATCAGTTAAAACCAATTTGAGGCCAGGCAACCATTCTGAATTGTTCGCTACTGATTTCATTCTGTTTTTAAGCTTTTTCATCTCCCTTACTTACCTTGGTGATGATGATCATGGTTGTGAGGGTTGATTTGAGCTGTTGAACCTGAAATTCATGTGTTTGACTTTTCACTAAGCATCTGTTTTAGCAGTGCATTTTCTTGTACATTAAGCTTCAGCACTGTGCATTTGTAGCACTGTAACTGGAGTCAATAAAAAGTAAACACCATCTCTAGAAGCTCTTAATCGGTATTTCACAGCCACATTAGCAACTCTGTCCTCCCCCTTGTCCTATCAAAAGCATAAACTTAGGAATGGCAGGGCATTGCTAATGTCATCCCTTACGTCCAATTCAAAGGAAGAATTCAATTTAGGTACTCCTTCTTCATCTGTGAAGAACAAATTTGTTGCAGGGTTTTTTTTTTTTCATTTCTTCCTCCTGTATCTTTCTTTAGAGAAAAAGAAAACACCAGGGTATTCCACTGTAAACAGTATGTGCTCTTTGCTTTTAATGTTCATTCATTTTCAAATGGATAAATATGTTAAAATAAATGGCATTCTGGGTGGGTATCTTAATCCCTTGATGCTATCAGATATGGGGGGGGGTAGGGGGGGGTGGGTACTTGCACAGGCACTTTGCCAGATTGCCAGCTTCATTTTTATTGACTGATTCCAGTTTCAGAAGAAAGAGGCCTGTGTGGTCCTCTCTTGCCACTCATAATTGGAGACCTACAGCATCAGCGTGGTGGATCTCTAGTCACTTTCCTTCCCTAAAGCATAATGTAAAACCTTCCACTGCTGGGCAGTTTCTGTTACTGTAACACTGCTGAGTCTTTCTTGCAGCCCGTGTCAAGGATTGAACTTTCCAAATTATGTATTTCAGACGTTGAGAAAGAAAGGACTTAATGGCTGTGACAGTCCAGACCCCGATGCAGACGATTCAGTAGGTCACAGCCCTGAGTCTGAGGACAAGTACAGAAAAATTAATGAAGATATTGATCTAATGATCAGCAGGCAAAGATTATGTGTAAGTACTCTGAGCTTCCTTTCATTTTTTTTACTTTTTGATATTTCTCTGAACCTGGCAGGCATTGAACAAGAAAGAAAACAAAGGTTGTGAAAGCCCCGATCCTGACTCCTCTTACGCTCTCACCCCACGCACTGAAGAAAAATACAAAAAAATTAATGAAGAATTTGATAATATGATCAAGAGCCATAAAATACCTGTAAGTACCAAAGGTTAGATGGCTGTCTGCTGATAACTGCTGCAGTAACAAACCATAACCCTTTCAGTTCTGGCTTCTTAAGGAAAACATTTCAGCTGGAAACAGGCTTTAATAGCCCAATATATAATTAAACACTGTGGTCAGAAAATTTCACACAACATATTTTTCTTCCAAGTCTCTACCTCTGACACACAGACAAAGCCTACTATAGGTGAAACCTACAGAAGGAAGTGAAATATACATATATACATTATATTCACTTGATTTACAGAACTGTTTTACCACACCACTCACCCAAATTATATCTAAAAAATAACGATGGAAATCTTTCTTTGTGGACAGGCTAACAAACCCACAGAATACTTTCTGTGGTGATATAGAAAAAAAGATGTAGAACTGAAATTCCTTTGTATATAGTAATTAGTGCGTTCTGTGCGTGTCACTTCAGTTCTCAAGTGTCTGCTAAACTCAGTTGCAGCACTGAAGGGTTACAGCTACTTGCTCGCTGCAGAGAAACAGACTGCATGAGAGCCTAATGGTAGGATTCAGACATGTTTGTGTGTTGGGGTGATTTTACAGCTTTATCAGAGAATTTGCTTTGACCTCATCAGCATTTCTTTAATGCTTTAACATGAGCTAAATTTTGTTTTAACCAAGTCAAAATTTCTAACCATCAGTCATATGCCTTGCCAGATATCTAAGAGAAATAACTCTGCATGTGCTATTTTGTTTGCACAAGACATAAAAGGGGAGAATATTTTGTCATTGTGTTTAATACTACATTTATAAAGCCGACAAAAAGAATGTGGAGGTTTGGAGGTTATATTTGGCCCTTCTTCCAAATGTCTGTGGAAGAGAAAGAAGCAAACCAAAGATTTGCCCAGGTCCAAAGAAGCATCTGAATTTGCATAGGTAACTGCTTGCTTCTAAAAAAGATCATTTGGATGTGTTCATTCCTCATTCCCACATGTAGGTTGTATGGTTAGCTGCCAAAAAGGATGTCTGTATACCCAGAATGAGCAAAGTCTCTTCTGTAGTGCTAGTCAATTGTGCGTACAAAATCTGATATCTAAGCTGAGGGTACCTCTTAAGGATGCTCAGATTCTGTCTCACGCAGTGTAAGTGTTATTTCCATTAATTCTCAGCAGAAAGATTTTCACTCAAGTTAATGAAAATTTGAAGAAGTTCTCATATCGTGGCAAACGTATTTTTGCAAAAACAATCAATAAAGATTTTCCCAGAGACCAGAATGGCACCAAATTTGATAAATTAGTATTTGGAATGGCTGGTTAAGGATGCCCAACATGTATATAAAATATCAGGGAGGAATACGTATATGTTCCATCTTTTTTTACCTCCCTTTTCATTTGCTTCTTTTGCATAGCTGTTTTTCTCAGAAAAAAAAGCTCTAAAGCTGTCACCATGAATTTGGTTTCTCGGGATGGAACTCAGTTTGACAAACAATGACTGCAACATTTAGGGTGACTGTTAAAAGCTGGAATGCTTAACCCTTTTTCCTGTCAAAATCTTACCAACTGCCATTCCTTTCCTCTTTCAAGGATGACCTTTGGCTTGTTCAAATCAAAGTGACGGAATTTTCAATCAGATAGTATTTAACCAAGCTAATATTCCACCTTAAAAATTGTGTTTGGGATGGTCCTTCAGATCCTCTGTTTCTCACATGCTACCTGTTCTTGTTCCAACAAAGCAGCACATATTATAACCATTTGAAATCTTAAGACATGAAGAAAACCTTGGAAAAAAACTCATTCCTGTGGTAGTGAGTTCTATCACTTTCTTTACCTCCATAAGCATTTGGGAAAATCGTCTTTTCTATAAAACTAGGAAAGTTCTAGGAATTAGAAACAACACAGTTAATCTAAACATGGTGTATCACTTTTGTCCTCCCAAAAATTAATGGACTCTCCCTCTGGTTGCTTTCATTAAATTTAACCTTTTGACATCAAATATAGTCCTACTTCAGCTATTAACCTGATGATTAACTTGGTATCCTGAGCTGTATTTTGGGTATAATGTAACGTCCTACCTTGCATGGATGTCACAAGGTACCATGTATTATCTTTTTGTGAAATTACTTCAGAGATGCTTCAGAGATACAGAACTACAAAATGTTAGCGTTTCTTTTCATGTAAGACAGGATATCCCTTCTTTGAATACTTCACACGCAGAGCTCAAGGTCTGTGTGCTCCATCGAGCTGCTTACCACAAAAGGAAGAATCAGTAGGTGTTCTCCCCTAATGCAACAGGAGCTCCTTCTCTTGGCATAAGCCGAGATGTAATGGGCAAGATGGAGCTCAAAGCTAGTACATAATGGAAATTTGTAAATATAATATATTTTTATATATAGGTATAATATATTATATACAATAATATCCTTAACTGTACAAATCAGTATAACTTCAGGGAAGTCAGGGAATTTATATTCATGTACTTGTGATCATCAAAAGTAGCCAAGAAAGTTGGGGGAAAGAAAGCAAAACTGAACAAAAAGTCACCAAGTCAAGTCATTAAATCACTACTTACAAAATACATAAAACAATGCAATGCCTGTGCCTGGTCTTGTAACAGAATAAAGCTGCTGCCAAATGAAAACAAAATTGGCATTTGCTCCTAACAGCTAAGGCCAATAATGTTTCCTCAGATAATTTTCTGGGGATAAGTATTTATATTGTTCTAAAACATCTGATAATAATTAGACATTTATTTGTAGTTTTCATAAGAGTGATGAAAGCAGAGGAGACAGAAATAGTCCACTAGAAGGGAGCTATAAGTATCTCTGTCTCTAAATAAATGAAGGCCTGATTGAACATGGGAAGGATAAAAACAATATTTAACACAGAATGTTTGGTCCATTAATTTCCAAGGGTTTTGAGTCCCCACCACTTTGCTTTGCACAACATACCACAGCTTGTGGAGCACACATCTAACACAATGTGTGCTGTACACTGGCGCTTTCCTCTCAGGTGAGCCATCTGCCCTCTTTGGCAATTGTGTCCAAAGGAGAAAAGACAGAGGGGGAAAAAAAAAAGCAAAATGTGGCAAGCTGCATAGACATTAGAGTAAGGCTATGTCTATGTCAGTAAATTAGCAAATGGCAGAGAACGTACTGAGGCAGCGGGAGGTGCTTATCTCTGCCCCGAGTTGTTTGAACAGTCCCTGGCATGCTTTTGGCACTGGCCAAAGAACGCTCTCCCAGACAATTTCTTAGCTCTGTTTGGTAGTTAGCCCAGGCCAGGAACAATTCCCAATTGTCGGTTTATATGCAGTCATGATGTTTTTGAGGTTGAGAAAGGTTAATAGTAGGGACACGGACTGCTCTGTGGCCTCAGATGGCCTCGGTTCCTAGGCAAGTTTAATTTACTAATATAGATATTACACAAGTGCATCATAAGCTTTAATGTCCATCAGGCCTAGCTGGAATAGATATGCCCCATGACTTACCACCAAGAATGACTAGGGAATCTGCCGTAGGTTGCAGTTCTTGGTGAAGGACATATAAGACTGTAACAAAGTTTGGGCAACCAGAGCAAAACTGTAGCTACAGACTTACTGTTTAATACTGGTGCTTATCCAGACAAACTTCTCTCTCTAACCTTTGGCTGCTGAGGAGAAGAAATAAAAACTACTGTATTCCAGATATATTGTGTATTGTGCTGCAAAGCAGAGAGTAAACTGACTTTGCCCTGATAAAATTGCCTATGAAGTACTCTGTAAATAGATGTAAGTATATCCAGACAGTAGGTAAAATAGTGAAAATGAAACCATTACTACAGAAATTAAGACAATAATTTGCTTAACTAGTTTAAAAAAATATTTTTAAAAATACGAAAGGAAAGCTAAGTATCTGTTTCAGCAATGTTTGTATGTTTCAGTGATGACTAGTGAGACTGGCAGCCACAAGAGCAACCAAGACTGGAGCTCTTTTGTGCTGTACTAATGTAGAAAAAGAAGACTGCAGCCCTTGGAGGCTTTGGTTTGTACATGGAAGAAATACAGAGCATAATGATGAATGTAGACAAGCCTGTTGAGGATTGGCAAGACCTTCAGATTTGCGTTTGTACCTGCTTTTTAGTTTAGGTAGCTCAATAGAGGTTGGGATTAGGAAAGTAAGTCAAGAAAATAGAGACAATATGGTGTCATCAGCTGTCTACCCAGGCTCAGAGGGCAGATTTCACAGATCTTGTGATAGAGGTGAAGAATACACTGTGCAAAGTGCTCCCCAGTGGGTGACACTCAATCTGACATGGGCTGGCACTCAAGCAGGCAGGATCATGTGCTCAAAGCCACCAGGCAGAGAAATCTCCAACACAGCCCTGAACATTGCAATAACAAGACACTCCATGTTGGCTTATTCATGTCTCACATCAGGCTGGAGGTGGAGCTAAGACATCTATCCTCATGTGAATTCACTGGCTAAAACCTTTTGAAAGGGCATAAACCAGCAGCAGCAGCTGGCTTTGAACTCCAAGAGCAGCCATGCACTTCTGACTTACATGGGATTTGGGAACCTCTTGGATCCTTCTGTGGCCAGTGAAGAGAATGTCTTGCTTCAAACCATACCTTCAGGCTGATAAAATGTTTCAGGTTATGCTATGTGAACCTATTTCCAAGCAGCGTAGACCTCAGTCGTGACATATACTGGAACTCCTTCTGCTACGTGCTTTGTAAATTTTCCTTTGAAAGACAAGCCACACATGCAACTCGGGAGCTGGACTTCAACTATAAAAACATCTGCAGGCAAAAAAAGGTTGCTCCTGAAAGAAATAAAGAACATACTTCAGCAATTACATTTTTCATCATGTAATCATTTATTCTCTTTTTTCTATTTGTGAGATACAAACATTAGTATGTTTCAGGATCCCTGTGCAGACCTAGCAGCACATGTAGTTTTGCTCCTTACCCACTGAACGTATAGATTCCCAAGACATTTCTCCTCCCCTTCCCACCTCTACTTGAACCCATCAACTCTATGGAAAATACAGCCCTTGGGGTGCACTTCAGCTTCTCGGCAAAGGGAAGCGAGTCCCAGCGTGCAGCCTGGCTGGGGAGCAATGCCAGCAGGTCCGTCCGCTCAAGTGCCCTACCTGTCCTCAGCCGTTATGCCATGGCCATCTCTCACAAACCCAGGCCACAGGCTACGTAGGGGGTTTCAGAGCTAAATTAACACCTTGAAGTAAGTCCCAAGGCATTTGTGTAATGTATCCTTCACATCATACCCTGAACTAAAATCTTGCTGTGTGTTTCAGTGGTTAAGCAAAATGATTCCTCTATATTTAGAGCAAAATTATGTCTGCCCCTAGAAAGGGGGGAGGGCAAAAAAAAAAACTTAAGGAATAACCGTAATTTGATGGCCAGCGCTGTAATACACAGGGCACAGCCAACAGCTCTGGCCAGCCAGAGAAGAGATGTGGGCGGCACAAGGTCAGGGCGCCTCTGTTGCCTGACACTGCAGATTATGTGTCCGGCTGTCAACATACTCCCTCTAGGTCCTTGAAGACTTACCAGTACTATCAGCTGCCAAGAACAAAATTAAAATTCTGATTTCCTCCCTCCGAAGATGTTACAAGGCTGGTTTAAAGAATTTTTTGATGGGTTCAGACTCTTGAAGCTTATGAGATTTTTAAATGGCAAATTAAGGGGTACTTCATTTGCATTCAGGTATTTGAATATTTAAAATGCTGTCAGGTAATTCTGAAAAGTTTTCTTTCCATTCACAAAGACAAGAAAGTAATTATTTTTAAAACAGGTAAATTAAATATGGGGTTCTAATGTATTTGAATGCCACCAAAGTCATAAATTTTAGAGAAATTCAGGCAACTGCCACCCAAGAAAACCCCAACCAATAAACTCACCAACCAAGAAAACTTGAGTTGGGCTTTCTAAGAGCATAACGAGAATCACGTGCTGCATCTCCTCGCACCCTCTGTCAGAGTGGTCCATAATTTGGTTCTTTTTTGAAAGGGATTCTTGCAAAGGAAAGTGGCTCAGGAGAGGATCCTGCCTTAAAGTATGAAAACAGTATATTGAAAAGGCGTCACCAAACACCATCACCCAACCAAGAAAACTTGAGTTGGGCTTTCTAAGAGCATAACGAGAATCACGTGCTGCATCTCCTCGCACCCTCTGTCAGAGTGGTCCATAATTTGGTTCTTTTTTGAAAGGGATTCTTGCAAAGGAAAGTGGCTCAGGAGAGGATCCTGCCTTAAAGTATGAAAACAGTATATTGAAAAGGCGTCACCAAACACCATCACCCCCCCAAAAAAAACAAAACAAAAAACCAAAAAAACCCACAGAACCCAAAGATATTGAAAAGGCGTCACCAAACACCATCACCCCCCCAAAAAAAACAAAACAAAAAACCAAAAAAACCCACAAAGAACCCAAAGGCTGGTGTGCATCCAAAGTTCTTGTATTTGCTACCTGTCCCTGAGCAGAAATTTGTTTCTTTTAAGCCCCTCCATGCTAAGATAGAAACTTTAAAAAAAGTAATTTACTGTGTTGGTGCCTTTAACGTGATTTGGGATCATTCTGGTTGCTAAAGCAACATAAGCTGAAATTAAAGCTTTCCCTTTTGCATTCCACACCTTCTAATTTTTCTCCATGCAATGAAGTCATCATAATCATGTACCTTTGATCTTGCAGTCATCTGTGACACTAGATTAAGATATCACAAGTGAACAATTACGACTTCACAGAATGAAAGAAAAAGAAAATTAAGCCTCATAAAGCAGGGTTTTGTTTTAAACAAAAAAAAGTGAAAGAGTCTTTCCAATTCTTAGTAAGTGAATGTGCAAGCTGCATTAAAGGAAGATGGAATCATGATTTGAAAAATCTTATTTAAAAGCCTTGGTAACTCTTTTGAAACTCTTCTCTTGACTCTTGGGGGAGGGGGGCGAGCATAAACATTTTAACCACCAACTATAAAATATTTGAACTAAATATAGAGTAACTGTACTTGAAGGCTGTTGTGCTTCTGTACTATTCTCGTCTTTGTTTCCCTTTTTTGCTTGTACAGGCTGTTCCACCACCAAACTTTGAGATGCCAGTTTCTATCCCAGTGTCCAACCACAACAGTTTGGTATACAGTAACCCAGTCAGCTCGCTGGGAAACCCCAACCTTTTGCCGCTGGCTCATCCTTCTTTGCAAAGAAATAGCATGTCTCCTGGCGTGACACATCGGCCTCCAAGTGCAGGTAACACAGGTAGGCTCTGTTCAATCCTATCCCTTTAAATGCTCTTTTATCAGCTGCTTGTGTGCCTTGGGTCACTTTAAACTGTACTCTGAGAAACAAGAACTCTGTTTTTACCAGTCATAACAGTTTGTCCAAAATGGCTGTGTTGAAAAATCAAAAGAAGAGCCAAAGGGGTTTCTATTCCCAATTTAGAAAATTAAAAAAAAAAAGTTCTAGAAAAAGCTGAATATTGACTAAGATTAAAAGACATCAATAAAGGATAAAAGGGCAGACAATTTGCTGTTTCATAAAAAGGCAGCTTGTCTACTTAATTCATGCAAGAACTCACTATACCATAAAGCTTAAGGGGGCAGGGGAGAAAATGTAGCCAATACAAACAAGTTGAAGCAGGTAAAATAAAGCACTCCTTACTTAAATCATCATTCTAGAGGCTAAACGCAGAATTTATTATTATTTATGCATTCACAGGTTCCTTGATGGGTAAATGTTAGCTGAGCTCTGTACTTGAGTGCCTTGTATAGCAAGAGGCTGTGCTTTGCTCTGGTGATGATGAGGGCTCACCTCTGAATAGGATAAGTGGGGATTAAGTTCATTCAATCTGTCTGGCTGAAGCAACATCAAGATCCTTAAGTATACTGGGTTCAAAGAACCATCTGAGGTCCGCAAGTGCAAAGAGAAGTTTTAAAAATCCTTAGAGTGAATATCTATGAAAGGCTGAGGAAATTAAAATTAAAAGCTATGTAAATATATGTTACAGCTTCTGAGTTACGTTCTTGTACAGGAACTTTCAGTCTCATCCTCCCAATTCTGTGTGGAAGCCTTTGCTTTTCTGACTAACACTGAACTAAAGATAGTTTTCAAATGAAGGACTACTACACATAACTTTCAAATATAATTTATTTTTCATATGCTGTGGAAGTATGAAAATAAAATAATGAAATGTGTGTACTGCATATTTTGTTTGTCCTTGAAAGGCAAATATCTTGTACGGGTAACATTAAACATTACCATTTTATGGCTATGGGTCTGATCCAGTGCCTGTTGAAGTCAGAGGGAAATAGTGGTGGGTACTGGAGCAGGCCCTTTGAAGTTAGAGAAAATGTTTTGAATGTTTGCCTGTTACAATTTATCGTGCTCATTTGTAGTATTTCATTTCAACCCCCTAGGTGGCCTGATGGGTGGGGACCTCACAACCGGTGCAGGCACCAGTGCAGGTAAAGAAAAAATAATTTATATTTATTTTTCTAAGTGAACAAAGGACTTCCTTCAAAGGCTGAGTCCAAAAATAGCTCCATACTGGAGGTGGGATATTAGAAAGTGATCGGCATCAATTTATTTCCCCCAGCTGGGGGGTGGGGAGTTGACATTTGTGCTTCTCTTATTAGTAGGAAGAGGCTTGTTTTCAGCAATGTTGAAATCTTGCACCTCAACAAATTCCACAGATACAAATGTGTGTTTTCCTTCACATTAGCCTTTCCATAAAAACTTTTGGGTCCATTGCATAGCATAGCCCTGTTCAGGCAAAACTCTTACTGAGGCCAGTGTCAGAAACCCTGATCCTTTTTAAGTCACAGGGAGTTTTTCCATTGACTTTAGGGGAATTGGGGTTTCATTTTATGAATTTAAGCTTGAGTAAAGATTTCGATATGGAGTCTTTCATTAGACTTCAATCTACTGAGCACAGATTTGATTTCAAGCCCCTGCTTTAAGACCATTGCTAGTCAGCAAAATCTGTTAGCATTTACTTAAATAATCAGTAATTAACTTACACTTAGTTTTATGTATTTACTTAAGTGCTTTGGTACACAACAGGGAAAGGATTTTCAAAATACCCATGCAGAGAAAAAGATTAGCCCTTTTAGTCCTGCTCCCATAGAACTAATGAGAACTGTACTTGCTACGGTCTGTGTTATCAAAGGAATGTTGTCAGAGTAGTCCCCTTTGCTCAGTAAACTCAGTGGTTTGTTAGCAATGTCAGCAATGTTGCATTATTACAAATACGGATTACAAAAGACAATGGCAAGATTACTGTTTCAGTCTGAGAAGTAAACACATATGTTCGAAGAAAATAAGCTGAGTGGTAAAACATGGAGCACATCCAATTTTACTGGGTTAACTGCTCTCAGAAAGAACTGTACAGGAAAATAGTTGTAAGGTCCATTTTGTGCACTATAAACCAAGGCTGATATATATGCTGATTCTGACGTTGTCTCATAAAATTACTTATAAAGAAATTCTGGATATAGTGATCTTTTCTTTCTTGGCTCTTCTCAGCCTGCATTAGACCACCCCCCTTTTATCTTCACACATAGATGAGTCACAGATGTTTGTGTGATGCATTTGTAGTAAAATTGAAACTGCACAGCATTGTATCAGAAAGGCATTTTAAATGCACGCTGAACCTTTGAGGGGTCATTTTGTATTAATTTAGGAGCAGGGAAGACAGACCACAGGAACTTAGCTATTAGTCTCCTTTGTTCTCAAAAAAAGAAAGCATGATAGAAAATTGCAGTTTTGTTAATTATCTTTTGTTAGCCTGCGAAACACAGCTAAAGAAAGATTCGTTCTGGCGATGTTCGCATTTCATCTCACTTTAACCTCATGTATAGTAGAAACTTCAGGAATGGCAACGGAGGGACTCGGGTAGGAAATTGATTGCCCTATTAAGGGGCTCCCTCTACTGGCTTATTAAGAAATATCATTGTCTCGTTATTGGTTTCCCTGTTCCTTTAAAAAGACGCTGGAAAGCAATTAGTAAAGGCAGCGATGTTTTCTTTTAAAAGGCGCACATATTAAAATAAAAGTTCCTCTACACATGCATTTGGCTTCATAATCCCTGTGCTTAATAAAATCTGTGTATCAATATGCCAGCTGAAAATTTATATGCTTTCTAAATACATATTTTTTTTCTTGGAAAAATATTAAGAGCATATATAAGCAGAGGAAGAGGAACAGCTTGATTACTCACAAATTAAGAATTTCTATTTCCTGGGCGCAGTGTTATGCATTAAGCTCTCAAGCAATGTAACTTTGGAGTAGGCAATTGATTTGAGGGGCATATATATATGAGGGGCATTGCTAGGAATGCATCATAAATATTTAATCATATGAATAGTCTTTGTTCTTTATCTGGCAATAAGAGCTTTAAACACCATTAAAGAAGTGTTTTCTAAATCTCTTAAATGCAGAGCAGTAGGAAGAATTTGATACAGCGCTGAAGGAAGATGAAAAGGTCACTATAAGGTTGAATCCTCTGTCTTAGTTGCATCATTCCACAATGGCACTATTTTGGACAGTCCTCTTTCTTTAGGGTGCAGCAGAATAAACATCAAAAGTTCTCTTTGTTCATCATTCTTCACAAGAAACAGAGACCTCTGTGTTTTTTTCTATTTGGCATCTTAGAAGCTGGTAGCATGATCATGTGGTTTAATCTGTTGGGGTTCATATTTCTGGCCAAATTAGAACATTATGGATTTGCATTTTTCTTGAGTGTCCAAAAATAGCATATATTCAAAATAACATACTTGAAGAAGAGGAGTCTAAAGAGTTTCATTTCTGCCATTATAAAATGAAACTACTTTTGATTGCTAACACCAGGCCTCAGTTTCTGCACTACTTTAACAAATTACATTATAACAAATTACATTATAACTGCAATATCAGAAATGGAAAAAGATTAGTTAAGCCTGTGTTTTGAGAAGTATGTTATTTGGTTGGTTTGGATTATTTCAAGTAATAATCCTGAAATCATCCACAATTTACCTTGGGAGTCAACCCAAGACATAAATAGAACTTTAAAAAGCTGACTATTTCTTTATTACCCTACACAACTAAATACCGTTGCTGGTATTTTTAAGTTAAACCAAGGTTATCTCAGGTTTGTAACAGTAGAGTTGTTCTTAGTCAAACACTGATTGAATAGTTTCTATCATGTGATAGTAGCAACTGCCAACAAAATTAGAGTGAACTTCACATTTGGTATAGCTGCTAAATTATAAATACAGCACTATTCTCTCAAACCAAAGGCTTTTGATTGAAAGAGAGAACAAGAACTTTTTGGACCCAAATTGGTATGGTCTAAAACCATTCTAGCTTATCCCATAACTAATACGAAGGCTAAGTGACATGTTACCTGTTTACATAATAAACTATGTGAAGTTCCTTTAATTTTTAGGGACCATAGTCTTTAACAAAACCACTTAATAGTAACTTGACCATAAATAAATAATGTCTACAAAGTTTTAATTCAGCAAATTATCTGAACTCAAGTTTTATTCAGTGGCTCAATATTTGTGTTGAAAGCCTGATAAAAGATTAAAACTTTAAAAATACTTAAATAGTTTTAAAGTCAAAATACAACAGTATTGGGGGACGTCTTTCTTTGCATCTGTACTTTAAACTTTTGATTTTCAAACTGAGTTATAATTTTAGATTGAGTTATATTTTTCATTTTTTATGTGGCTTCCAGATTATGACATTTTGGATTTTATAACTAAGTTTCCTTTTGAATGGAAAAAGCCCATCTAAATCAACATAATTTCTTTACGTTTTAAACCAATATAAATAATAAAATCGAAGGAAAAATTCAATCTCAAGTTTTAAATCCAGGATGGGTATAACAAAAAATATACTTGCTTTAATTGTTTATTCACTTCCTGCAATTTCTTTATTTCACTATTTGATTTTTGTACTGCCTCCATCTTAACATTAGTATTAAACTAAAGGAGCAAGTTATTCAAAAGTACTTGAGACTCTACAAATGCTGTCAGAGGGCCTAAGTGCTTGTTCTTTTTAAATCAAGCATCCCCAAACTACCTTTAAACCTGTTCTTTAAAATCATTAGAAACTGAAAAGATCAGTAGTGCATTTTGAAAAATTCATCCCATGTCTTTTTAATAACTGAATCCCGTATTTACCTATAAATCAGCAGCTAGTCATTTCCTTCTGGAAATTCACCACAAGCTAACAGTTGGCTTCTGGTCTTCTGAGGGCTGAGGTCCTAGATCTGCCAGCCAATATCATAATTTGCTAGTGCTTTCCTGCTCCTTTTTCTTTTCTTGGTCATGTACTGACTGTGGGTGAATGTATTATATATTCTACCAGTATTTCAAGCCACATGGGAATACATGTAGTAGTACGGGTTTTTTAATTTATAAGCCCTCAGGGTAGAGACAATCTGGATTGCATCTTCTCAAAAAAAAGTGATTTACTAAAAAGAAGCAATCTGCCCAAATAAGCCTACAAGCAGTACCAAAAATAAGCAAGGATTTCAAAGGCACCTAGTTGAATTAGTGTCTTTTGAAACTATAAATATAAATAAACAAACTAATACTAAAAATAAAAAATTAAAAAATTAAAAAGTTACATAAATATTCTCCACTGTGCCCTGAAATCATGCTTGGCATAGTCAAGAGAAGATAATTCTTAGGCTACAAGTGTGGAATATGTTAAATAAACAAGTGAGCTTAGAACAATGATTCCTAAACCACAGTTTATGGGCAACCTGTTAGGACTGGCTTTGCCAGGGAGAGCATGGTAAGTCGTTGCCCTTCCCTTGTTACTCGATGAGTGCAGTCGCCCACAGACCTCTGATCCAAAGATTGGGCAAGATGCGGTGCAAAAGTATAGTAAACAATAGTTCCTGTCCAAGGAAGTTTACAGTCCAAAAGAAAGAACTTGCAGTCATTCATAACAGAGTTCGTGATGCAATAGTGCCAAATCCAAACAATAAGAAATCATAAATTGGCAGGTTGGCTTAAAACCATGGAGGGGCATAAGAAATGAAAAACACAACAGCTCTCCTCTTTTTCCACTCATATTATGCCATTTTAAGTGTTCCTTTTCCAAACTTTCCTCCATATAAGGAGGATATATTTTCTTTTTGTTTCAGTGTTTTAAGGGAAGTACCTACAGGTAGAGGATTTGTGATAAAGCAGGAAGAACACTAGAACTTGCTTGACAGCTCTAATACATAGTATGAAAGAAAGGGTCTATCTAACAGTACCTGAATTTCATATCTGCGTAGGTGATCAACACAGGCCTTTCCAAAATTAAGTCCTATTTCTGCCCTAAGCAACTGGTCTGTTTTATACAGTTTATTTGGACTCTTTTCATATGGTTAAAATCACATCAGTGAAACTTTAAGAATAAGTTTGAAAGGATAGATGCTGCTGTCCATGTAAAAATCAAAAATTCTTGCAATGGGTATCATGCA